CTCACAGCGACCTCAAACTCCTGGGCTCAAGCGATCCTCCTGCCTCAGCCTCCCAAGCAGCTGGGACTACAAGCACGAGCCGCCACGCCCGGCTAATTTTTTATTTCTATTTTTAGTTGACTTGCTAATTTCTTTCTACTTATAGTAGAGACAGAGTCTCGCTCTTGCTCAGGCTGGTCTCGAACTCCTGAGCTCAAGCAATCCTCCTGCCTTGGCCTCCCAGAGTGCTAGGATTACAGGTGTGAGCCACCGTGCCCGGCCAACAAATACTTCTTTATCAAACATTTAACTCACCTTCTAAAGTAACATTCCTAGAATCCAAATTTTTAATAGAGATGAACTATTCAACAGCTGAATCTTTTTGTTCAACTCTCCAGTAAACTGACTCATTTACTATCGCCACTACTAAATCACTGTACTAGTGTTAATAAAGTAGCTTTAGCAGTTTTCTGGTTAAGTTACCTGGTTCCTCTTGAGTATGTTCACCTGTGGTCATTTCCTAAAAGAAGAAAAGATAAGTAACATCTTAAGTTATTTGCCAAAACACGTGTTCTTTTTCAAAAAGCGCTATGTCCTACAGGTTTTTCTATACTTTTAGTCACAATAGACGAAACTGGTTTTTTCTTAATTTATAATTATTCATAAAATTTCATAAGAACAGAAATAACTGAAAAGTCAAATTCCTTTGTCTCTTGCCCCTGATTTTACTTTTGTTTTATTATATGCAAATTTTAACTCTGATCATATTGCTATGTACATCTATCATTTTACTCTACTTCTTCACTGTCAAAATCCCTCAACTCTAGTCATATCTGCTGCAAGTTTTTACCCAATGGAAACCAAGGTCTGAAGGGTATTGCAAGTTTTATACACACTACTAGGTGGCTGAAAACTTAAATGAATTTTAACAAATTAAGAAGTTATGGGATCAATGTCCAAAGTGACAGCCTGAGGAGCTCCACTGTCCCATTCACAGTGAAACTGATTTTAAAAAACAAAATAAAACATTTAAAGCTTCTGGAAATGGTCCTAAGAGCGAAAAGCAAATGAAGAAACATCTATTCAAGAAAATCTATGAAAATTTGCTAAAAATAGTTAGAGTCCATGTGAATCAAGACTGTTTTCTCCTTCCTTTCCCCCAGCTCAGCATGGCAGAGACTCAGACTGCTGTAGACAAGAAAACAGGGCCCCCATTCCCTACAGGTCCCAGCTAGAGAGCATTCTTCCCCATGGGAGCAGGACTTCAGCTACTGACATCACAAGAAAACTACAGACCAGTGTCTACTATAAATATGGAAATAAAAATCATCAATAAAATACTAGCAAACTAAAGCCAACAACATATTATATAAAAATTATATTATCATGACCAAGTAGGATTTAATTCAGGGATTCAAGCTTAGTTTAATGCCCAAAATCAATACAATAAAAAAAAAAATCACATGAACATCTCAATAGATGTAGAAACAGCATATGACAAATTCCAACACCCTTTCATGATAAAAACACTCAACAAACTAGGAACAGATAACAACTTCAACATGATAAAGAGCATCTATAAAAAACCCATGGCTAACATCATACTTAAGGAATAAAACAAAAATGTTCACTCTCACCACTTCTATTAAACATCGAACTAGAGGTTCTAGGCAGGGCAATAATTAGGCAAGAAAAGGAAAGATAAGGCATCCAGATCAGAAGTGCTGCAGATTGAACTGCGTCCCCCAGAAAGGTATGTTATAGTCCAAATCCCCAATACTGTGAATGTGACTTTATTTGGAAACAGGGTCTTCAAAGATGTAATCAAGTTTAGATGAGCCCATGCCAGATTAGGGTTAGGATTAACCCTAATGCAGTATGACTGGTGTCCTTATAAGAAGAGAAGACATAGACATACACACAGGAAGAATGTAATGTAGCAAAGGAGGCATTAGTTGGAATTATGCTGCCATATGCCAAGGACTAACAAGGACTGCTGGCAACCACCAGAAGGCAGAAGGAAAGGCATGGTATGGTTCTTCCTCATATCCTCCACAAGGAATCAACACTGGTTAACACCTTGATTTTGGACTTCTAGACTCTGGAACTGTGAGACAATAAATTTTGGTGGTTTTCTGTTGTGAGACAGAGCCTCACTCTGTCACCATGGATAGTGTACAATGGCATGATCACAGCTCACTGTAACCTCATACTCCTGAACTCAAGCGATCCTCCTGCCTCAGCCGTTTACTGGGAGGTAACCCCATCATAACTTGAAAGGCATCTATACTTTGTTATAGCTGTCCTAGAAAACTAACACAGAAAGGAAGAAGTGAAATTATCTCTATTTACAGATGACATGATCTTGCATATAGAAAACCCTAAAGAATCCACTAAAAAACCATCAGAATGAAAGAGTCCAGCAAGGTTGCAGGATACAAGACTAATATATAAAAATCAATTATATTCCCATACACTTGCAGTGCACAATCCAAAAATGAAATTAAGAAATAATCCCATTGACAATAGCAACAAAAACAACAACATATTTGGAAATAAATTTAACGAAGGACAAACCTTATACTCTAAAAACTACAAAACATTGTTGAAAGAAAATAAAGATCTACATAAATGGGAAAACATCCCATGTTCATAGATGGAGTCTCAACATTGTTAAGGTTTCATCATCCCTCAAACTGATAAGCAGATGCAATGCAATCCCAATCAGAATCCCAGATGACTTCTTTGCAGAAACTGACAAGATTTTAAAATTCATATGGAAGTGAAAGAGACCCACAATAGCCAAAACAATCCAGAAAAAGAAGGAAGTAGAACTTACATTTCTCAATTCCAAAACTTACTGTAAAGCAACGATCAATACAGCATTACCAGCACCAGAATAGACATACAGATCAATAGAACAGAACTGAGAGTCCAAAGATAAACCTACACATTTATGGTAAACTGATTTTTGATAAAGGTACCAAGATCATTCACTGGGAAACGAAAAGTCTTTTCAAACAAATGGTGATAGGACAACTGGACAGTCACACAAAAAAGAATGAAGTTAGATAATGAGGTTATCATACTATATACAAAAATTAACTCAAAATGTATCACAGATGTAAATGCAAAAGCAAAATCCACAAAACTCTTAGAACAAAAATAGGCATAAATCTTCAGGACCTTAGATTTGGCAAAGGATTCTTACATATAACATCAAAAGCATAAGCAACAAAAAATAGATAAATTGGACTTCATCAAAATTAAAACTTCTATGTTTTAAAGGAAACCACCAAGAAAGTGAAAGGACAACCCACAGAATGAGAGAAAATAATTGCAAAACGTATTTCTGATAAGGGACTTGTATTCAGAATATACTAATATAAACGATTCTTACAACTCCTTAAAAAAAGACAATTAGGCCAGGCACAGTGGCTCGTGCCTATAATCCTAGCACTCTGGGAGGTCAAGGTAGGAGGATCACTTGAGCTCAGGAGTTCGAGACCAGCCTGAGTAAGAGTGAGACCCTGTCTCTACAAAAAATAGAAAAATTAGCTGGGCATGGTAGCACATGCCTGTAGTACCAGCTACTCAGGAGGCTGAGGCAGTAGGATTGCTTGAACCCAGGAATTTGAGGTTGCTGTGAGCTAGGCTGATGCCACGACACTCTAGTCCGGGCATCAGAGTGATACTCTGTCTCAAAAAAAAAAAAAGAAAAGAAAAGAAAAAAAACATCACTAGTCACTAGGGAAACACAAATGAAAACCACAGTGAGATACCACTTCACACTCACTAGAACAGTTAGATCCCAAAAATCAAATAACAAACGTTGGCAAGGATGTGAAAGAATAGGAAACCTCACACACTGTTGGTAGGAATGTAAAATGAAATAGCTGCTTAGGAAAACAATTTGGCAGTTCCTCAAATGACCCAGCAGTTATACTTCTAGGAATATGCCCAATAAAAATGAAAACATATAGCAGCCACAGAAACACTTGTATATGAATATGTATATACAAGTGTATATTCGTTATAGCAGTATTTTTTTTGTAATAGACAAAAGATGAAAACAATCCAAATGCCCATAAATGAATGAATAAACAAAATGTAGTATAACCAGTATGGAATATTATTTGGCTACCAAAAGGAATGAAGTACTAATACATACTATAACGCAGATGGATACTGAAAACATTAGAAGAAGCCAGACACAAAAGACCAGATTTTATAATTCCATTTCTACAAAATGTCCATAACATACAAATCTATAGAGAAAAAAAACAGGTTACTGAAATGGGTTGTGGATCTGTTCTCCATGAGAGAATCTCTGATTTCTCCATGGAGCATGTACACAACAATTTTGATCATATTAACTGTTCTTCAATTTTGTGTTTTTATTCAAATGTTATCTCTTTTTTTTTTTCTTTGAGAAATACACTGTCACTTATGTGGCAGGGTCCTTATGTTATTCTAACAAAATGTGTATATGTCTAAAGGAAGTTGTTCTGTTTACATATTTCTAAACATTTCATCTTTAAAAAAATTGTTCAGAGAGGTTGTATTTACCTTCCCAAGGCTGAAAAGCAGGGGAATTTTCCAGTTTCCTAATTTTCCACCACAGGAATATATGTAAGTAGAAAAGTATTGACTACTTACATATAGTGTGTATGTATGTACACATACAAATTGTGTGTTAAAGAGGTGATACTGATTTTCATATGACAATGTCAAGCAAATGTCTCCCTGCATTTGAAGAGCAGGTTTTCATTTATACGTATTTTTGGGATAGAAAATAAAATTTGTAAATATAGCCCCATTTTCAAAGAGTAATACTTTCCTAGCATAGAAGACCTTATGTTCATAGGTCTGTT